AAACATTCCACGACGACATGCAACCACTCAACCAAGGCGGTGTGGTCGTGCTGGGGAGTGGTCGTGCTGGGGTGTGGTCGTGCTGGGGGGTGGTCGTGCTGGGGGGTGGTCGTGCTGGGGGGGTGGTCGTGCTGGGGGGTGGTCGTGCTGGGGCGGGGTCGTGCTGGGGCGTGGTCGTGCTGGGGCGTGGTCGTGCTGGGGTGTGGTCGTGCTGTGGTGAGGTCGTGCTGGGGTGTGTCGTGCTGGGGTGTGGTTCGTGCTGGGGTGCTCCGCACCCTGTGATTTATCGATCGGGTCGTGCTGGGGTGTGGTCGTGCTGGGGTGTGGTGGTGCTGGGGTGTGGTCGTGCTGGGGTGTGGTCGTGCTGGGGTGTGGTCGTGCTGGGGCGTGGTCGTGCTGGGGCGTGGTCGTGCTGGGGTGTGGTCGTGCTGGGGGGTGGCGTGGCTGGGGCGTGTCCCGTGCATGGGTGGTCGTGCTGGGGTGTGGTCGTGCTGGGGTGTGGTCGTGCTGTGTTGTGCTGGGGCGTGGTCGTGCTGGGGCGTGGTCTTGCTGGGGGTGGTCGTGCTGGGGTGTGGTCGTGCTGACTGGGGTGTGGTCGTGCTGTGGTGAGGTCGTGCTGGGGTGTGGTCGTGCTGGGGTGTGGTCTTGCTGGGGTAGGGTCGTGCTGGGGTCGGGTCGTGCTGGGGTGTGGTCGTGCTGGGGTATGGTCGTGCTGGGGTGGGGTCGTGCTGGGGTGTGGTCGTGCTGCTGGGGTGTGGTCGTGCTGGGGTATGGTCGTGCTAGGGTGGGGTCGTGCATTTCGCTCGAGACATCCTGCCAAAATTCCAGGAAATCGTACAAAAACAAAGGAATTAGTCGAGACATCATCGAAATTCCTTCGCGCGGGGCGCTTTTCCGCGTCGCGGTCGGCTCTGCAAAACAAGCGTTTCGCTCGAGACATCCTCGGCAAACTCTGCGGAGCAAGCGTTTCGCTCGAGACATCCTCAACACACGAAAAAGTGGCCCGCACCCTGTGATTTATCGATCGGGATTTCAAAAACAAGCGTTTCGCTCGAGACATCCTCAAATTTTAATTCGCCGGCCTCCTTCGACCTCGTTATTTATCAGGGAAAAAATTCGCCGGCCTCCTTCAAGTTGGCACCGGGGGACAGGTTTACCCACTAAAAGAGAACCCTGGGCCCAGGCCCTTTCCGGGAAAAAAAGCGTGCTTCTTGTCTTCGGCACTTGAAAAATATTATTTTTCTTCTTTTTTTAAAAAATATATATATATAAAAAAAAAAAAAAAAAAAAAAAAAAAATGCGTCCAAAATGAAAATCGAATTCTCATCATCCCTCGCAAACCCGAGCCATGGATTTGCATGAAGAAGATCCACGCGTCATGGCGCCGGCTGGGATTGCCAGCAAATTCCGGTCGGAAACTGCACTCACGATCACTCGAGTACCGGAAACAAGTTGCGGGTGGGTGGGCGGGATATTTTTCGAGCATTGGTGCTGACGACGTCGAGTTCTGCAAATTAGATGCACCCCATAGGTCCGCCACCGTGCCGCGAGGCGCGGAGTGGAGTTCCTCCAGGCTCTCATGTGTCCTCTGTTCTCTGTACTCAGGACTCTGGGATTATAGTATTCTAAAGGCTGGGGCCCAAAATTCTAAAAATTCCCTGGCGTTCCCGCGCGTTCCGGGGCTGCCCCGCGTGACTCTTCCAGAAGCCAGAGGGCCCCAAGACGGACCAAGAGGGCCCCAGAAAGCGCCCAAGAGGGTCCAAGACGCCTCCAAGACAGCCCAAGAGCGCTCCAAGGCGCCCAAGATGGCCCCAAGACGGCTCAAGAGGCCCCAAAGAGGCCCCAAGAGCGGTCCAAGAGAACCCCCAAGAGGGCCCAAAGAGGCACAAATCATGGATTGTCCTTGTGGTTTTCTATGTTTTCGCGTTCTGGCATTTTCGGGCCTCCGACGCTCCAAGATGGCCCCAGAGGCCCCCAAGACCGCCCCAAGACGGCCCAAGAGGCCCCCGAGAGGGCCCCAAGACGGTCCAAGAGGGCCCCAAAACGCCCCTAGAGGCGCCCAAGATCGCCCAAGAGGACCCTAAAACAGCCCCAAGAGGGGCTCAAGAGGGGGAACACGAACCGACAATTCGAGCCTTCTGCCCCAAGAGTCCCCCAGGAGGCCGCAAGAGGCCCCCAAGAGAACCCAGGAAGCCCCCTAGAGGCCCATGTGTGAGTGCATCGAAAAGCAACCCGCTACGAGGGAATGTTGGTGGCCTCTTGGGGCCCTATCCGGCCCCTCTTGGACCCCTTCTCGGGCCTCTCTTGGGGCCCGGCTGGGATCCTCACGAGCCCTCGAAGTGGAGCATTGGAAGCGCCGTTTCATGTGCGCTCTGGTTGGACCTTGGGGCGTCTTGGGCCCACCCACCCCCACCCAGAACTCGTCTTGGGGCCCTCTTGGAGCGCCCTTTAAAGCCCTCTGGGGGCCCTCTTGGGGCTCTCTTTGGGCCTTCTTAGGTCCCCCGAAAGGAGGAGGCGTCTCGAACCTATCGGTGGCCTCTTGGGGCCCTCTTTGGGTCGCCCTCTTGGACCTCTCTGGGAGCTCGCTTGGAGCCCTCTTGGGGCCCTCATGGGCCCTCGAAGTGGAGCATCTGAAACGGCCGTATACACTGCTCCACTCTGGTTGGCTCTTGGGGCGTCTCGGACCCTCCCCCGGAGCTCGCCTTGGGCCCCACAGGGCCCTGCTGGGGCGCTCGTGGGGCCGTCTCGGGGCCCCCGTGGGGCTCTCTTGGGGCCTCCTTGCGCCCCCCGAAGTGGAGCATCTGGAACGATCGTTTCAGATGCTCCACTCCGAGGGCCTACGGGTCGCCTCGTCCAACGAGGCTGGTGACGACTCTTCAGCTGATGCTCTCGCGCGGAAGTCCCCGGGGGCATCGCATTTTTGCCTCTCCCCCCCTTCCCTTGTGGCCATCACCCTCCTCTCGCCTTTGTCTCCTCCTTCTACCTCCTGCTCCTCGTCATCCCATTCCTCTCAGCGTGTCCTCCTCTTCCCTTTCCTCCTCGGTCTTCCCTGTTGGTCAATCGTCTGCGCTTCTCCCTCCTCCTCGTCGCCATCGTACATCCCCCTCCATCCTCCTCCATTGAATTTCCTCCTCCGCGTCTGTCCCATGCCCCATCCCCATTCCCCCTATTCTTTCGGATGACGCGGAGGGGCGCAAGACATATACAGAACTGCCCGATCAACCACACAGCGGCGAAGTAACCGACGCAATATCGCGAACAGGCGCTCGCTGTCTACCTTAGATGTGATATGACGGCAAGACCCGCCGCCCCGCAGCACCGCTCATGGTGCTCGAAGGGCCCTGGGCCATTGTTAATGTGGTCCTTGCGAAACTGCTTTGAACCCTTCCTCCGACGTGTTGAACCGAACACCCCCGCTTGTCTCCCCGCGACATACGTTCTGAGATTTCTCTGCTCTTTGAGCAACGAGGCCCAAGACGCACCCCCCGCTGAAATCCCAGGCCCCGCCGGGCCCCTCCCGCGATGCCTTCCCGAAGCGCCCCCGAGGCCCTCCAGCAGCCCACCCCCCTGCTCCAGACTGCGCAGCGCGGTGGTGAGCATGGGTTGCACTGTAGTTGGCCGATCGGTGACAATGACGGCACCCGGCTTGGCAGCTGATGAGTGGAAAGATGGGCAGCGAAGGCCGTTACACGTTGGTCGGAAAAAGTAGGTAGAAACATGAAGTAGGAAGGCGGATATAGTTGATCGGGTCCAGGTCCTCCCAGAGCATAACAAAACACAGCAACAGCACGTCGATTCTTGAAGTAGGAAGGCGCTTGAAGTAGATTGGGATCTGGGAATCCAAAAATACCTAATTACTTTCAACGACCGGCGTGTATCTAAAGCCGGCGACGCCGAACCTCACAATTGGGAGCGGTTGTGGTTCTGGGCGGCATCGGAAGCAGCTTTTCGGGCTTCCGACGCGCCAAGACGGGCCGCATGGGCCCACAAGATCGCTCCGAGATGGCCCAGGGGCCCCTCAAGAGGCCCGTCAGACGGCCCAAGAGAGCCCCAAGGCAGCCCAAGAGGAAATCCTGGGGAATCCGAGGGAATCCGATGGGAATCCTATAGAATCCTATGGGATTCCTTGGGAATCCTAGGGAATCCGAGGGGAATCCTGGGGAATCCTAGGGAATCCGATGGGAATCCTATGGGAATGCTGTGGGAATCCTGTGGGAATCCTAGGGGAATCCTATGGGAATCCTAGGGGAAACCTAAGGGAAACCTATGGCCCGTAAGACGGCACCAGGGCGGCACCAGAGACCCTCCAAGACGGCCCTGAAGCGGGCCCCAGGACGGCCCTCGAAGACCAAGAGGTCCCATAGAGGCACCCAGAGGCCCCTAAGAGGTCCTCAAGAGGCCCCAGGAGAAACCCAAGAGGCCCCAGGAGGCTCACAAGAGGCCCCCTTCGAGCCCCCCGAAGGGCTCGCAGGAAGCCCCCAGGAGGCCTCCAGAGGGCTTCGAGAGGCCTCCTCTTCTTCCTTCTCCCCCTTCTCCTCCCTCGCCTCCTCCGTTCTCGCCCTCTCCCCGATGCTCCCCCAGCGCTTCCGCAACGGCCGGGGGAACACAGACGGGGCGACGCGATCTGCACAGGTCCGCTGCTCCTGGCCGGGCCCATCCCGGGCCCCTGAGCGGTGAGGGTGCCTCCTCCTCCTCCTCCTCCTTCTCCTCCTCCTCCTCTTCCTCCTCCTCCTCCTCCTGCTCCTCCTCCTCCTCCCTCCTCCTCCTCCTCCTCCTCCTCCTCCTCCTCCTCCTCCTCCTCCTCCTCCTCCTCCCAGGGGCCACACACACACACACCCAGGGGCCCGGGATGGGCCTGGCCAGGAGCGGCGGACTTGTGCGGAGCCCGTCGCCCCGGCGGGGCCCAGCAGCTCGGCCGGACGTCGGCCCAGCGCTCGGCCGCGCGGGCGCGCCCCAGAGGCGTGGGGGGGGCGGCGGTGCTTCGCCGCAGGCGCCGCAGCTGCTCGCCAGGGGCTCCAGGAGTTGGCAGTTCCATGCGCTCCCGGGCCGCGCCGCGCGCCCCGCGCGCCGCGCCGCGTGGTGGTTGTTTCCTTCTCGGAGGCACGAGGGCCCCGCAGCGGGCCGAGAGACGCAGGGCAGCCGCGCTCTTGGCTGCTTCTCGGTCAGGCATGTCCCCCTACAGGCGGATTGTATACGACAAATAGACATCGTTGTCCTTGTTGTTTATACGCACAAAAAAACAATAGTCGAAAAATCGTCCCCTGACTATTTGTTGACTACTTTTGATGAATATTCCTCCTGTAGGGGGACGCGCCCGACTCAAGACTACCTAGTTACCAGACCACCCCAACCCAACCCGAAGACCCGAATTTCGGGTCGGGGGGGGTGCGGCTTCAATATACGTGTGGTTTTTCAATGTTCCCCGACCTCCCCCCCTCTCCACCGGCAATGGAGGGCCGATCGGGGCCTTCGGGTTGGGCTGGGGGGTGGTCTGGTGCGCGGCTCGCCCGGCAGACGGGAGAAGGGGAAGGCACGGCCGAGACGGGGAAGAGGATCGGCGTCGAGCGAGGGGGGAAGTGAGCAGGAGAAGGCCTGCTCAGAAGGTTCGGAAGTCCCCCGGCCCTCTGAGAAGTTTTCTGAGCCGCCCCCGAGGACAGGAAAAACTTCTCCGAAGGCGCGAGGGCGTCTTAGAAGTCCCGCCGCCGTCTGAGAAGGCCTCCCCCTCCTCCTCCTCCTCCTCCTCCTCCTCCTCCTCCTCCTCCCTCCTCCTCCTCCTCCTCGTCCTCCCTCCTCCTCCTCCTCCTCCTCCTCTCCTCCTCCTCCTCCTCCTCCTCCTCCTCCTCCTCCTCCTCCCCTCCTCCTCCTCCGCCTGCTCTCCTCCTCCTCCTCCTCCTCCTCTCCTCCTCCTCCTCCTCCTCCTCTCCTCCTCCTCCTCTCCTCCTCCTCCTCCTCCTCCTCCTCCTCCTCCTCCTCTCCTCCTCCTCCTCCCCTCCCTCCTCCTCCTCCTCCTCCTCCTCCGCCTCCGCCTCCTCCTCCTCCTCCGCCTCCGCCTCCGCCTCCGCCTCCGCCTCCGCCTCCGCCTTCGCCTCCGCCTCCGCCTCCGCCTCCGCCTCCGCCTCCGCCTCCGCCTCCTCCTCCTCCTCCCCCTCCTCCTCCTCCTCCTCCTCCTCCTCCTCCTCCTCCACCTCCTCCCCTCCTCCTCTCCCTCCTCCTCCTCCCCCTCCTCATCATCATCATCCTCCTCCTCCTCCTCCTCCTCCTCCTCCTCCTCCTCCTCCTCCTCCTCCTCCTCCTCTCCTCATCATCATCATCATCATCATCATCATCATCATCATCATCATCATCATCATCATCATCATCATCATCATCATCATCATCAGCATCATCATCATCATCATCAGCATCATCATCATCATCATCATCATCATCATCATCAGCAGCATCATCAGCATCATCATCATCATCATCATCATCACATCATCATCATCATCATCATCATCATCATCATCATCATCATCATCATCATCATCATCATCATCATAATCATCATAACATAATCATAATCATAATCATAATCATAATCATCATCATCATCATCAGCATCATCAGCAGCAGCAGCAGCATCAGCATCATCATTAACCATCATCATCATCATCATCAGCAGCATCAGCATCAGCATCAGCATCAGCATCAGCATCAGCATCAGCATCAGCATCATCAGCATCATCAGCATCATCATCATCATCATCATCATCATCAGCATCATCATCATCATCATCATCTTCATCATCATCATCATCATCATCATCATCGTCATCATCATCATCAGCATCGGCACGCGCTCTCAAGAATGCTCCCGAGAGACACCTGCAGCTTCCAGTCCGCGGCCGCGGGCTCCAAGCAGGTCGGGGGGCCGAATCGGGGCCCGCCACGCCAAGCCCGCCGCTACGCGCCGAACCACTTGGCGAAGCGGCTCTTCTTGCGCAGCGCCACGCTGGAGTCCATCTGGCTCGCCATGTCCTGCAGGGCCGCGAACCCGTTGCCGTTGCCGTGGACGAAGCAGACGGTCTGGCCCAGGGTGCTGCTGTACAGCGCCCTGGTGCCGTTGATCTCCTGGACTTCGACGGGCGCGCCCCCGCTGCTCACCATGTTGTGCAGGGAGAGGAACAGGCCGCCCGCATAGTCGAGCGTCACCGTGCCCGGGTGCTTCAGGTAGTAGTCGTTGGCGAGCTGGTTGGCGTCTGCCTGGTACGTCTCCAGACCCTCGAGCATCTCGTAGATGTCGGAGACGGGGCCCATGATGAGCCCAGCGTTGGCGTACTGGTACTTCGGCGTGCTGTCGCAGGGGCCAGCGGACGGGTCGGTGCAGTTGGAGAACGACGACTCCCAGGTGCTCGACAGGGAGTATGCCGCGATCACGTCCGCCCTCCTTCGAAGAAGGAAAAGCTGCGTAGACATAAAGTGTCGGAGCTCCGCCAGGATTTCTCGGATCGGCGCTGGGTCCCCCTGGCGGCGCCTCCAGCGCAGCCCCTGGCGCGCTCCGCACGCCAGAGACGGGGGGGTCCAGCGCCAATCCAAGAAATCCGCGCGGGCTTCCGAAAGTTCATGTTTGTGCAGTTTGTCCTTCCTCTGCTCCTGAAGGAGGTGAAGTTCGTTCTGCTGTAGCGCCACCCCAGCGACCACGGCCAGGGCGAGACCTCCGCGGCCATGACGATCGTCTGGGTGCCGCCGCTAGCGGCGATGATCTCGTTGTACTTGAACATGATTACCTCCTCCGAGCAGCCCCCGTACAGCACGTCGCCGTAAGAGCTGATGACCACCAGCTTGCCGGCGTCCACCGCCATCTGGGCCTGGAGGAACGCTTTCAGGCCTGCCCACCGGATCTTCTGCCACGCCAGCATCGTGAGCTCCGAGGACGGGTCGAGGACGCCATTGTAGTGTAGGATCTCCTTCCCGCCCTTGGCGCCCCATCGCACGCTAGGCCGTGGGCTCGCAGGCTGGTCGGTGCCCTGCAGCTTGAACGACGCAATGCTGATCGTCGAGCCCAGGTCCGTGGTCTCCACGACGGTGGTGTTGGCCCCGTCAAGAATGGGGAGGTGAGCCATGAAACCCATGCAGAGAAGAACATAAGACGGTATGAACACGCACGTTCGGAGGCCCACGCGAACTTCATGAGTCGGGGCTGGGCCCCCCTCCCCACACGGGCGGCGCCAAAGGCGCTGGCAAGGGTGGCGAGGGGGGGTCCAGCGCCGACCCAAGATCTGCGCAGACCCCCGAAAATCGATGCTTCCCTGATGTTCGACGTCGCGACAAGCTTTCGACGTCGCGGAAACTCACGACCAGCGCCCTTTGACCCCATCCTGCTGCTGCAGTTCTCAAGCCGGCTCGACCTGTGCTGGCCCCTGGGGCCCAAGACTGGGCGCAAGCGCCCGACGGGAACAGAGGAAGAAAGAACGGCATGCACATTAACTTGTGGAGGAGGAGGAGGAGGAGGAGGAGGAGGTGGAGGTCCGCGCGGATTTCTTGGGATCTGCGCTGGATCTCCCCCCCCCTGGCGCGCGGAGCGCGCCAGGGGCGGCGCGGCGCCAGAGGCGCCGCTGGGGGAACACACGCGCGGATCCAAGAAATCCGCGCGGAGCGGCAAAAGTTTCTATTTAGGTCGGGCCTGTCCCCCTACAGGGTGATTTTGGACGAAAAATAAAAATACCAAAAAAATGCACTTAAAATTATCAAAAAAATCGTCCCTAGACCATTTTTTGCTATTTTAGAATACTCCTCCCGTAGAGGGACAGGCCCGACTTGAGTTTATGTTTGTGCCGTGGTTTCTTCTTCGAGCGAGAGAATCGCAGCGCCCGGATCCCAGGGCTGTGCCGCCGTGTGTCCTTCCACATGTAGTCGCGGTCCTCGATCCTGTCCCACGGGAGCGGCAGCACCGCCTGGAGGTTGGCCTGCACGCGGAGGCGCATCTCGTCCGCGTAGGCCGCACTGCCCTCCTGCCGGGATCCACCAAAAGTAAAGGGGCCCTGGGACACACAAATAAAGAGACGCAAACAACAGGATTCCCCACATTCTCCCATATGTTCTTGGTTATTGTTTTCCGCCCACTGCCCAGATGTTCCCATATTTTCTGGGGGATCGACGATTAATCTCGGCCTGTGTGTTTGTTCCCCTCCTGAAAAAGGGGGGGGACCCTGAGAGGGGGCATGACCTCGACCCGTCGGCGCACCGAACCGCCGCGAACAGCAGCCCCCCCGCATGTCCCACCTATCGGCAACTATCGGGAGCTGCCGGCGGCTGGTGAGCGGTTTCTTCTTCGGCGTTTCGACATTGGGCGGAAAGGGGGGGGGGAAAGGGGGGTTTGGCTCTGGACCTCTGCTTAGTGCGACTGTTTGGAGCAGTGCAGTGCGTCCTACGGGGGAGGCTCCCCCTGCCCGAAACAGTCACCAAAAAACAGCAACGATCCACTCCATGGGGGGGGGGCCCGAAACAGTCACCAAAAAAACAGCCACGATCCACTCCATGGGGGGGGAGGGGGGGGGTGCGAGAGCCCGCGCCGATCGGCAAAGCAGCGAGTAAAAGAACGACCACTTGGGCGGTTCGGTGCAAAAACCGATCGAATTCACACCTCCTCCTGAGGGGCAACGTTAGGGGGGGACTGGCATAGGGGGGATGCATCGACCTGGAATCGGCGATACATCGCCGATAGATCGGCGACAGGCCTCCGGTAGTGAATCCGCACCCTCCTGGGCAGGCTGGGGCTATCGGGCCCCTATCGGCGATCGATTGGCGATCGGGGGTCGATGCATCCCCCCCTATGAGGGGAACAAAAAGTGCCATAAACATAAAAACTCGGAGGTCCGCGCGGATTTCTCGGATCGGCGCTGGGGCCCCTCGGCGGCGCATCCGGCGCCGCCCCTGGCGCGCTCCGCGCGCCAGGGAGGAGGGTCCAGCGCCGATCCGAGAAATCCGCGCGGACCTCGGAGCTTTTATGTTTACGTGACTTTTTGTGTCCCTACCTATGCCTGCCCCCCCTCTATCCTTGCCCCCGACCCCGTGGCACGCACTGACTACCTACCAGACCACCGCAACCCAACCCGAAGACCCGAATTTGACCCGAATTTCGGGTTGGGGGGGTACGGGCTCCATATGTGTTTTTCCAATGTTCCCCGACCCCCCCCCCCACTGGAAATGGAGGGCAAATTGATGCCTTCGGGTTCGGTTGGAGTGGTTTGGTGGGTGGTGACGCACACCCTCTGCGGGGCCCCGGTCCTTGCCGAGCTCGGTGGCGCTGGCCAGAGCGGCCAGCAGGAGGGCCAGGGCGGGCGCCGCCATCCCCCCCGCGGCGGCGGCGGCGGAATGCCGGGCCATCCCTCAGCGCATTTTAGGGTATGTCGGAGCTGGACCGAAGCGCCGTCTTGCCGGGCTTCGGCTGTGCTTTGTTTTTCGCTGTTTGGAGTCCCGCAACGGTGCGGTCACAGACCGTGCGGTGACCTCGAAATCCCCCAAGACCTCACCGCACGGTCCGTCACCGCACGGTCTTGGGACCCCAGAGGCCCCCGTCGCCCGAGACGTCCTCGGAGAACGACCCGAGCCCCAAAACCGTGCGGTGACCCCGAATCCCCAACGACTCACCGCACGGTGTGGTCACCGCCCCGTTTGGGGGCCCCCGATCTTGGCAGGGAGGCACGGGGAAACAGGTGAAGTGAAACTCGGGGATGGACAGACCTCCCTTTAGTAAAACGTGGTTTAGTGAAAACGACCTCGGGCCCAAACCTGGCGGGCGCAAGCCTGGAAAATGACGGCCGCGGCGCCCTCTCGAGAACCGAAAACGGACAATCCACTGATCGACGTGTCACTGTGAGGAGGTCTGTCCACCCCCGAGAAGCGAGAAAAGCAGGACGCACGCGGAGCGAAAGGCAACGTTTCGGCCCAGCCCCGGAGTACGTGCCCAGACCTCCGCCGAGCTGCTCTGCTCCACCCTCGGCGCTTCCCTCCGGCTTCGGCCCTCGAAGGGCCCACGATCGGGCCCCGGGGGCCCCGGGGCGTGGTCTTCTGGGGCAGAGAGCTACCCCCCTGGGGAAGCGGTCGGGGCCTCTGTCGAAGGCGAGCGAGGGGGAGGGGTGGAAGCGAGCAGAAAAGAAGGCCTTCTCGGAAGGCGGTGGAACTTCTCAAAGCCCTGGTGCCTTCTGAGAATGTGTTCCGTCTGCGGGGAAGGCTTAGGAAGCTTCTCAGAAGGCCAGGGGACTTCCCAGCTTTCTCTGAAGGCTCGCACCTTCTCACTTCCCACCCTCGCTCGCCGCCGACTCTGGGACCGCGGATCGAAGCAAACAGATCGGCAGATGTCAAGGTGATGCACGTGCTGTGTACGATTCGCCGGGTGCGGAGCCAACGTGGCTGCGGAGGGAGCCGGAGGAGCCTGGGCCCCTGGGAGGCCCCAGCGAGGCTCGCGCCGAGGTGCTGCTCGCCATGTGCGGCGTCTCATGGCCTCCGGGGCCATAGCATGGAGTGCCCCAGATGAAGATCCAGCCCTGGGCAAAGGGAGACCCAGCCCTGTGCAACTGCGAGCAGCGCGAGATGTGGCCATCTCCTCGTGGGTAGTGCGTCGCGAAAAGGGAAGGGAGCTCCCCCGTGGGGTCACGAAGCGTGTGAGGCGTGTGCTGGAATAAGCGGATGGACCGCATGTAAGACGCCACTGAAGCCTCTGGTGGAGCGCCCTGTGGGGCCACGAAACGTGTGAGTGGTGTGCCGTAGTGGTTGGGGGGGAGCGCATGCGGTACCCTGCCACTGAGGCCGACTGTGGAGCTCCGTGTGGGTCCACGAAACGTGCGAGGGAGTGCGCCGAAACGGACATGCGGGGGGGCAAGGGAAGGACGAGGGGGAGGAGGTCAGGTGAGACGCGGGGTCCGCTGCGGATTCGGAACGAGAACCCAACTCAACACAGGATGGCTGGGAAAAAACAGATCGACGGATTTCCGTGTCCTGGGCTGCTGTTCCTGGCATCTGGGCGTCGCATTTGTGTTGCATGCAGACTGGGCGTGCCCGCAGAGCTCCAGGGCCTGGGGCTCGCACGTGATGGGTCCAGCCCGAGAGATTCCCCAGAGAGAGCAGGTCGAGGATTCGTGTCGTGATAGCGAACGTTTTCTTATTCGGCGTTTCGACCGTGGGCGGAAAGGGGGGGGAAGGGGGCGTCTGGCTCCGGACCTCTGCTTAGCGAGACTGTTTGCAACAATGCGTCCCATGGGGGAGGCTCCACCTGCCTGAAGCAGGCGCCAAGAACAGCCAAGATCTACTCCAGGGGGGGGTAAGGGGGGGTGCGAGGGCCCGCGCCGATCGGCAAAACAACGAATAAAAGAACGACCACTCGGGCGGTTCGGTGAAAAACGGTCGGACCCCTCCCGGTGAACATCTTTTTCTCTGGCGTTTCGACATTGGGCCACAGGGGGAGGAGGGGGGGGGTGCGAGGGCCCGCGCCGATCGGCGAAACAGTGAATGAGAAAACGAGCACAGAATTCACGATACTGTTTTTTTCACGACGTCGGATCTCAGGGGAGGAGGCGGGTCGGACGCTGACCCAAGAGATTCGCGCGCACCTCCGACAGCTGGTGCCTGCACAAGTGAAGCAGAAACTCCATGAAAACAATGGGCTCACTGAGAGCAACATCCTCGCCCTCCTCCTCCTCCTGCTCCTCCTCCTCCTCCTCCTTGCTCACCTTCGCTGAGGCAAATGTACGTGTCTTCGGTGAGCTCATGGGCGCTGAGCCTGGTCAGGCCAGTCGGAGGAGAGAAGCAGACCGACCCCGACAGCGACGAGGAAAATAAGGCAGAGGATCGAAGGAATTGCGCTGGAAATTCCTCCTCGGTTTCGCCTTACGGGGGCCCTTCATGATTGAGTGCCCGTCTGTATGAGCGCATCTCTACATGATGGTGCTTCGGTTTGCCCTTTTTTTGGTATGCATTGTTGTGCACACGCGTGCGCCAGCACGCATAACATTGTATGTGTATGTATGCCCGCGCTTGTAAAATGGATATGTATGTGTATGCATGCGCGTGTAGATGATATCCTTGATGCACAAACAAGTGCAGCGATGACGTTAAAAAGTCGGACGATACGTTGGCCATCCCAACGATCATCTTGATAATTACGGGATGTGCGGCCCAGGGGACTCCCAGAAGAACCCGGCCCCGCCCAACCAGGATCTCCAGGCGGGACTCGCAGTGAAGGTCGTGCGGCACTGCGCCACCCCTGTGGCCAGAGAGAGCGAGAGAGAGAGAGAGAGATCAAGGAAACACTGACCCGGATCAATTCAAACCCGGGCCAGTCGGGTTTTGCAAGATCCTGCAAAAACCTGCAGGATCCTGCAGGATCCTGCGCGCAAACCTGGATCAATGCAACCCTGGCCCTGCAGGGTCCTGCAAGATCCGGCGCTCTGGCTGACCCCCGTTTGCATTGACCCCCGTCTCAAGGCTCCCTAGGAGAGAGAGAGAGAGAGCGAGAGAGAGAGAGAGAACAAAAAAAAAACTATATATATATACATATGTGTGTATGTGTTCACTGTACCCGTATGTATAACTAACGGTACGGCTGACTCTTGGCCCCTCCAGGCCCATCCTGTGAGCCCTCGGCGCGGAGGACAAGAGCCGGCGCCCCCTTGCTCCGCAGACCTCCGAGAGCTCGACCCGCGCGAGCCGCCACCGCCGCCGTCACCGTCGTCGCGTCGGAGTCGTCGGCGTCGTCGTCGCCGTCGCCGTCGGCGGCGGCGGCGGCGGCGCGTCGGCGGCGTCGTCGTCGTCGCCGGTTGCCGCCACCGCCGCAGTCGGCGTCGGCGCTGGCCGCCGGCCTCGGGGCCCGCGCCCCCCGGCGCCGCCGGCCGCCGACCGCCGCCAGCGTGGGCGTCGGCCGCCGTCCGTCGGCGGCCGTCGATCGGTCGTCGGCCGCCGCTGCCGCCGACGGCTGGGACGGGCGGCCGCCGCCGGCTTCGGGCGCCGCCGCTCCTCCGCGCCGCGGCGCGCCACCGGCGGGCGTCGCTGGCGCCTCCGAGGCAACCGTCGTGGGCCGTCGCCGCCGAGGGTCGGGGGTCGATGCAGTCAAAACCCGTATCGTATGACGGGCCTGTTTTCCACCACCACCATCACCATAAGTTGGATGGGGGGAAGGAGGAGGACGAAGAGGAGGAGGGCGAGGAGGAGGAGGAGGAGGAGGGGAGGAGGAGGAGGAGGAGGAGGACCTCCTCCCACTCCAACTTATGGTGGTGGTGGTGGAAAACAGGCCCATCATCGTAAGGATGCGCGGTAAGGATGCAAGGGCATTGGAGGGCCACGTTGGAGTTTTTCGAACGAGGTTGGCCAGCGAGAGCCGCTCGTGATGGGCCGGAGGGGCCAGGATGCAAGGGCAGCCTCAGGAAGGTTGCCCGTCCTTAATGTGCGGGCTGACTGTAGGGCCAGCGTGCTACCATGAGGAACGCATCCTGAGGATGCACGGTAAGGATGTCAGGGCCCTGGAGAGCCGTGTCGACGCCGTTCGAGAGTGGCGCGGCAGGCGTGAGTGGCCAGGGATGAGTCGACGGGCAAGGATGCGAGGGTAACCTTGGAAAGCCGCTCATCCTTACGAAACGACTCGGTCTTGAGGGGAACGAAATAGGGGAACGAACAACGACACACACACACACAAAAAAAAAAAAAAAAACGCGGAGCTCCGCGCCGATCCGAGAAATCCGCGCGGACATCCGAGTTTTTTCTGTTGACGTCACTGCTCGTTCCCCTACGAGGGGCCTTTTCTCTGGCCACGGCGAGGCCCCACGAGCGGCGGCCCCGCCACGGGTCTACAAGGAGCGACCCGAAGATCCTCCTCCTCCCCCTCCTCCTCCCCCTCCTCCTCCTCCTCCTCCTCCTCCTCCTCCTCCTCCTCCTCCTCCTCCTCCTCCTCCTCCTCAGGGGGGGGAGGGGGGGGGGGAAGGGGAGAGGGGTGCGAGGGCCCGCGCCGATTGGCAAAGCGAGGGCTCAAAGACGATCCCCCGAGCCCACGGTGGCCCTCGCCTCCGCGCCTCGACCGTCGGCGACGGATGGCCCGTCGCCGCCGCGCGGGCCGCCGATCTGGCGCGGCCCCCGCGAAGCCCGGAGGAGCAGGCAGGCATCCCCACCTCGGGAGGGTGCAGTGCGAACCCACACCAAGAAACAACCTGCTTGCCTCCAGGGTGCCCTGGGCCTCTGGGGTTTCGGTGATCTTGCTGTGGAAGGCGCCAAGAGAATCAAGGGCCGTCCTGGGGTCTCGGGGCTGGGCTTCTTGTGGAAGGCTTCTTGTGGTCGGGCCTCCACTGTAAGTCGGACAATGGGGCCAAGGCCACGCCACTGCGCAGTGGGCAGAGGGATCG